TATTATTATTATTATTATTATTATTATTGTCCCATCTACCCACCACTTTATGGGGTATGTACTTCCAGCAGCTATTTCCGGGATCCATATTGTTTTCAGCAAGTGCCACTTGTATTATATAATTTTATTTTACGACAGCGTCTTTAGGATGATGTATGAAGTTCCAAAAATGGCGGTCTTCTGCAGTTCCCTGATGTCGTGTTTGCCCGGGATGTTGGCCAAATATTTTCTGAGTGACCTGGAGACAGTTCGTGTCGCTCCTATAACTATTGGAATTATTTTTGCTAGAACCTTCCACATTCTCTGTATTCCTATGAGAAGGTCCTTGTATTTCAAGATCTTCTCTGCTTCCTTCTTAATCACATTCCTGTCAGTTTATTATTATTATTATTATTATTGGACTTTTTGGCTGTTGTCAAGCACTTTAATAAATGAATTGAATTGAATTGAATTATTATTATTATTTCTTCAAGCAGATATTGATTCTATACCAGACCAGAACACCTGTAACTATTTGAATTCATGTGAACTGGCCAGCCAATCCTGTGTGAAGATTCCCACGCTTGCAATTCATGTGTGGAGGTTCCCACGCTAACGAGGGATCTAGAAGTTAGGTCAAGAACACGTGCATTACGATAGTGGACGAAGTCAACAGCGGGCTTTCAGCCAGTAAACAAAACTTTTGTACCTGTTATGGAAAGTTGTGTATAAAAGGATCCAAATTTCAAAAATAAAAGTATTCTGTGTTCTTTAATTTGTTTTTCCTAATTTGTTTATTTATAAAAAAAATTCCACGTCAACTCTGAGGTGATCCTTGTTCCCTACTGACTCTAATTCGGGATATAACTATCTCTTGCCGCCGGAACAAAGAAAGTGACAGGCAGTGAGAAAGTAAAGGATAGTTATAATTCTGTGCATCAGTGGTGCGATGTTAACAATATGGAACTTAACATTGAGAAAACCAAAATTATATCTTTCACACGGAAAACCAACAGTATTCATTTTAACTACTTTGTCAGTGATATTTTAATTTTCCGTACTGACTGTACAAAAGATCTTGGTGTCTTGTTAGACACTAAGCTATACTTTCATTGTCATGTAAATTTTGTTCATTCCCAGGCACTAAGGACCTTAGGGCTCATTCGTTTTATTACATATAATTTTTCCTCTTTAGACAGTCTTGTTGTTTTATATAATGCTTTAATTAGGTCAAAGCTTGAGTATGCTTCGGTTGTATGGAATAATCTTACACAGACAGATTCTAATAAATTAGAAAATATCCAAAGGAAATTTGCCAGTTTGTGCAATTACCGGTTTTTTCGGTTTAATATTACACGTAAATACGAATTGATTTTAACTACTTTAAATTTCAGAACACTTTATAC